AAAATTGCTGTTTTTTATTTTTGTTGTTTTTTCGCATTAATTTTGAAGAATACTGGAAATTTTTTACTATGGACCTCCCGAGTTAAATTATAATATGCGTATTATTATTATTATTATTTTCTTCCGATTGATTTATGTTTTCAAGCGTTTAAGTACGTTAATAATAATATTAGTTCGAGACTTCGAGTGACCAAGACGTCGGACGACCAGACGAGTGTCGGAGTGTTACAACTGTATACCTATTGAATTTAGTAAGTCGTAAGCGTATAACATTGAATGGTAGCAGTGACGTACACATGGGGGGGGGGGGGGTTTGGGTGTTCGACCCCCCCTTAGTATTTTTTCAGTTTACGTAATTACGTAAAAATGTATAATAAAAATGATGACAATTTAAAAAAAAATTAATAGTACTAATAAAAATAAATACAAAATTGAATTAAGGGAATTTTAGTGTTACCGTCACAATCGAGTTTCGATTAAAAATGTGCGGCGAGAAGACCGTCGTCACCGAAGTTATTATTTAATAATAATTATTATTAGATATGGGATATTCCAAATTATACTCCATTATATTATAACATTATATTTTAAACTGAAAATAATTATTTACACAGGATTGACCATGTTGTCGGTATACCGTGATATAAATTTAACTCCTGAAGAAGATGAGTTGGGACAAAAACCCAGGAAAATAGACATTGTTTTATAATGAAAATAAATATTAGTTAAACAACATATTATTTTGATTTATCAATGTATAATATATATATGTATATAATTTTTTATATGTAAGCCCCTCTCCCCTCCCATTGAAAATAGCTGTGTACGCCACTGAATGGTAGAGTTGAAATTCGTATTTAGTTTCATAATTTTTTGTTTCAGAAATAATGTTTTGTTTAGTTAAATGTATAAAAAAAACTGTGTGAGCCTGTATAAGTACTACTCACGGGTATATTCTTTTTATGTGTAAATATAAACATTTAAACACATATCTGACAGTACGGGATATAATATTGTAGTGTGTAAAAACTTAAACAAAATTGTTTTTAATTTATTTTACAATATTTATTCATTTTCTCGATCACTAATTAATAATTAATTAATGGTTATGCAGATGTTTTTATATTTTAAGCAATCTTAGTGTCATTAGAATATAATTACAACAAACATTCGATTAATTTTTGGTTTATTTACGTATTTTGATACATAATAAACATTCTAGCATTAGACTAATTATCTCACTCCCGCCAATATTTATTTAGTATAAAAATAAAAAAGAAACTTACATGTATCAAAAACTACCTTGAGTATGACCCAACGTTAATAGGTATTAGATTATCTATATGCACATTGAGTATAAAGTGGTTTTGTGTTGATTTTGATAAGAAAATTTGGGTGCACAAATTATGTTTTTTAAATTTATGTCGATTAAACATTTTTAGTTTAGTCAAAAAAGTTAAAAATGTTATACAAGATTCCTCATACATTTTTTAAGTGGAAATTTAAAAAAAAGTTAAGCCTAAATCAGCAATAATTTTTGTTATCTAGCATCTAAAGTTCAAATTTTGACAAAATTTGTAAAAGTCACAAATTATTTTGATGTAGAAATTTATAAAAAAAATTTATTTTTATATAGAAGATTTGAAAATTGATTAAAAGATTTCTCATAAGTTTGTTTACCTTAATCAAAACAAAAATATCTATGTAAATAACGCTAAAATTTTATTCCTCGGGCCAAAAAACTTGGAAATTTAATACAAGGCTTCTGATGTATTGTTACAATAGCTGTTGAAAAGTATACAAAATACATAGGCACGATTTTTTTATGAGCATTAAAACGTAAATTTTGACAAAATGTATTAAATTGATAACTTACAAATTATTTATTAGTTAAAAATGTATAAAACGTTACATATTTATAGCTGAGGATTGAAAATTTAAAACAAAGTTGCACACAAATCGTTAACTCTGTAACCAAAAAATCGAATGTACCTATACATAAATTTATAAATACACTTCTTTATATGGTTATTTTAAGTTCAAGTTTGTACGAAATTATTCATATTAAATAACCAAGAATAATGATTTTAGTTATACTGCTGTAATTTAAAAATTTTATTTGTGTATATTTGAAACTTTAAAAGTACCTATATTATTATATATATAATTCTGCTGTATGTGTGTATGTCACTGAACTCCTCCCAAACGGCTGGACCGATTTGAATGAATTTTTTCTAAGCGTTTAGGTGACGACCTGGATGGTTTAGATTCACAATTGGGTCCGATGGGTCCGACCCGGGGAGTAGCCCAAACAGCGATTTTAAGATTTACGAAGGAAATATTTGTTTATACTCGTATACTGTTGCTATTTGATGTAGGAGAAATATAAATTTGTTTAGTAGAAATTTGTATGTTTTTTTGTTTATTGGTTGCCTGCAGTGGTTCATCGGTCAGATCAGGTATAAGTATGCATATAATTGAATTTTACTCAACTTACGGACTACAGTATAGTAATAATAACAATATAAAATATCATAAGCCGACAAATCGTCTCCTCTCGGAATCGTTTTTCGTGTACAATGATAATATATCATTAAATTCAAATTTAACACCATATAATACATCGATGCACTTGTAATCTACCGTACCACAGAGGGCCACCCACTTACCCACTTTTTTATTTTAAAACTGAATGAACCATAAATTACACCAACTGAAAATGTTCAAATATTTAATCATGCTTAACCATACCGTTGGATGAAAACTTTATGAGTTAATAGTCATTTCGTATTTAAGGTTTCATATTTAATCCTATAACTAGTTATACAATATAGTCAAATTATTAGCTATTATCTTTAAATAATTTTAGTAACTTGAAGTTTCTATATTTAAAAAGTTCGACAAAATGAACACACGATCAAGCATTTTTTTATTTCACTTAGTTATCTAACTAGGTTGTAAAACATTTTTTTAAGTGAATTGAAATTTTGGATTTTCAGTGGATGAAGGAATGTATTAATTTAATAATGGTGTACTTGTATTATATAATTGTATTGTGTTTATGACCAAGCTTTGTATATTTATAGGATATTGCCCTTAGTCGATATAAAACGGTAATTTATCGATTTTAATAACTAGTAGATATTTAATATTTTGACTGGTATCAAGTTCTACCCAATTTAAATTGTATTATATGTTTATTAATTATTTTAAACGAGTATTGAAAATAATTTGAAATAGTTCCAAAATATATTATAACCTCTATATATTTGACCCTTTAAATTGAAACTGTTGAATGGAATTTCCTCTACGAATTTAATTTAAATATAATATATGATATTGGGAAGCTGAAAAAAAATATGCCACTATTTTTGATGCTTACTCATAGTTTACGCAATGTTTCATTATTATAATTATGTGTTCGCCGCGGATGTGGATAAGGCATCAAAGAGGGGAAAATATATAGGGTAACGTCTGGCAACTCAATCAGCGGAATTCAAGTAGTGCTCTTCTTTGATAAAACACGTCGATTCAGCATATTCAATCGACGCGATCGTCCCCTTAGCTAACCGTAAGCTCTTAGAATCATCGAGTAGACTCTATTATGTTTCACCCCTAAATTCCGAGTGATAATCATTGAAACATTATAAGTTTTTCTTTTATAAATTAGATAAGAATGTGTTTTTTGTTTAAATTACTTTTACAATATATAATATATTGTGGAATATGAAGACATTTTGAATAAATATTGAAAATTAATTAAGTACCTATAGGTGGGCAACTAAAAAATTTTATTTTTATGTAATCAATATTATACTTTTATAATGTATCTATCAATTGACAATTACATATATTTTGTACCATACAGCATATAGAAAATTAAAAAATATTAGAAATTAAATCATACATAATGTGACAAGTGGAATATAGGTTAAATATATATATTCCAGTATATTTAAAGTTCTGTTTCCAATACATTCAGATATTTTTGTATTCTAATTTTCCCGTTAACTATTAATTACATATTGTAATTGCATCGCATTTATAAAAGGTCATAAGAAAATAAAAAAAATAATATATTCAGTAACCCCTATTATAAGATAATAAAAATCCAAAAAAACATGAACAAAAGGTACCAATGTGTATTTAATAGAAAAACCAGGGAACTCGGCTTGATGTATAGTTGTAGGTGTCAAGTATACCTCGTTAGTCGTTATTCAATATGTCATTTTAATGAATATGTTAAGCTTGAATTTAATGATAAATCAATAACAAGCGATGCTGAGTGGAGACGATGTGTCAGTTTATATTCTTAAGGATATTAAAAACTAAAAGTTTAAATAATAAAAACAATTGGTATGTGCATATATTTACGTATTAAATACAATGTATATAATTTTGAAATTTTTTTATTGTATTAAAAAGAACTCATATGTTAGGTTCGGATTTTGTAACGAATACTATTTTGGCAGTTAGTATATTGTGTTAAAAAGATAATTCTTATAATATATAAAAACGTTTTAAATTATTAAGGATGAAATTAAGTTTATTTTGCTTTTTTCCACTAAGTTTGGTTTCTCTTACTTTTTTATTTTTTAATTTTTATTCCTAATTTTGACATGTTTCTTATGAAAATTTCACTATTTGCTAAAATGTTGTTTTATTATCTATCTATATATAGTCTATCTATTTATAGTCAGAAAAAAAGGTGTTATGGCGAATGCAAGTTAGAGACTTCATTCAGTAGAGCAGGGGTTCTCAATCCGCGGACCTCCCTGTCATAATATGCGGCCCGCGATCACATTTGAAATTTAGTATGTATATTTTCTATTTCGATAAAATTATAAAGGCTAAGCCATCGCTGTCAGAAATATGCGATGAGATAAATAAATAAATAAATGATTTGTAATTTGTAATTTAAAATGTAATCATAAAAATTGTAAGAATAAAACTGAATTTTTGTTTAAAATACATGTTTTTAATACGAATGCGGCCAGCCAGATCATTATAAAAATAATACTTGTCCCCATGCATAAAAAGGTTGAAGACCCCTGCAGTAGAGCATAGAGCAGTATAATTGAAATGATTGAGTTCATATGAAATATGCATAATTTTTATTTAGCTAATCATCGTATTATCTTTATGTCCATCAATAACTTCAGTTAACAATACCCGTTATTATAATTTAGAGTAAAATATTAAAATTAAAAAACAAAATATACTCTTTCATTAAAATCGGTTAATTATGATCAAGTTTAGGACATGTTTTAAAAGGGCTTGCCGTCCATCCATCAATAATTTGGTTTGATACTGGAAATTTCCCACATTCGCAACAGCCCTCGTAATCATCTGTATCAAGCTGGTCAAGGACAATTCCAACATAGGATTGTTTTGCGTAAGCTCCCTAAAAAAAAAACAACAAAAGAATAATACAACTTAATGTATAACAATAACCAATAGTGGCTTTCGTTTCGTTGGTTTTCTGCTTCTACCGTTCATCTCTCGTTTTACGAGTGTACTTCCTCATCATCACTGGCACGACAACCAGTTACTGAACTATCAGACGTGCAAGTCATGTCTTATCGGCCCCAAACCTGTTGGATCCCCAATCGATGTGTTTATACTATTAATTGTACATAACTGTGGTGATAGTAGTTTTAATGTAATTGGCCTCATAGATTTAGCTCGCTATGGCACTGACTGCAACCAGTCGTTTAAATCTTAGGCGGGCCATCCGTTACCCATCTTCCAAAAAGTGTCAAAAGTGGTAATGAAGGAAAGAATATTTTAGACGTGCTAATAGACTCTTTGAACAGAAAAATATTTAAATTCCGGAATGAGCAAGACGCAATCGTTGACTTGCTTATAATATTTGACCGCATCGCTGAGTTTGAAGTGCTCAAATCCTAGTATTAGTGGAATAAAAAGTTTAAATAATTTATTGACTTGTGTGTAAACTAAGTGCTCAAAATCGTGAAAACTATCCCTTAACAGGGCTAGAATTGCAAGTTAGGTTGGAAGATGCTGAATCAACGTTTATTTTTACAGTAAATATTTACATTAAAGCTTTTCAGTCAGGAGGTCGTTACCACCTTTAACATTTTTTGTCAGTTTCTAAGAGCGATGGTCATGGTCGTATAACACGTGTTAGAAACCCAAATCGATACCATTGAAAGTCTCATAGATAGCAGGAATACTCAACTCCAGACCTTTGACTCCTTTATAATCAGACCACTATAATTCCTGGGTAATTCACTCCTGTAGTTTCAAAGTACATTTTTTAGCATCCATTGGTCTAGTATTTGTATTATCCCAATCGGTAGGTACACCACTAATAAATCTTAGTACATATTATATATTTACCCTATATTTAAATTATATCTTGTTTTTATAAAGTTTTCTTTTCTTAAAAATAGTCTATTTTATCCTATTGCATCATGTTAACCACTATATATTTTCAATTTTTATTTTTCTATCCTATGTTCTCCATCCGAATGTATTACCGGATTTCTTTACGATTACAATATTATTCCGTCAAACAACGGAGACTTAGTGTGCACAATACGGTTTTAATATATTTACTTGATCATATGAAAGTTTTGAAGGGTTAGTACACCACTGAGATGAATTAGTTGAATCGGTACTGCTACAATACTGTAATTAAAACGAGATAATATTTTTAGAGTAGGACCACGAAAGTGTAAAATCTAAAAACAAGGAAAAAAAATTGTGATATGAGAGTTTAGATTACCATATTAATTGTTTTCACGTACTATATAGCTGTATAGGAAAAAGAATAAATCACATCATATTACGTGTATCAAATTGACATTATTTTCAATTTTGAAGTAGGTAGGTACATAAAATGTTGAATCTTTCTTTTAAATATCGTTCAAATTAATTTGATTCCCAGTAACTTGACTTTGATATCAAAGTATTGCTAATTACACTTTAATACAAATTGTATATTTCTATGAGTTGACTATGATTGAGAAGTACAAATGGATAGTTGATCATGTGCAAGTTAAGGATAAATAATGTTAACACTTATTCACACCTAAATTGGTGGGTGATTGTGCAGGTTATATAATTTTGAAGTATGTCAAAATTGAGAACATTGCATACTTTGTGATTATTTTAACACATCGTTCTTTTGAAGAGTTTCGAATTGTTCAAAATAAATTGAATAAGTTATTTATGTGGATGAGACCGGCTGTTGGCAGCCGACGTCACCACGCACAATGTACAAAAAGCACTCAAATTTCGCGAAACATCTGATGCCTCTTTTAAATAAAGAATAATTTTCTTAAAAAACCTGGGTGTTTAATTTTTGATTATACCATTTTTATTTCCTTTAATTGCCCATCCTTTCAATTTTCATGAATTTTTTTCTACACTCAATAATTTTGATGTTTCTCATCTGCCAGGAATCTCGCAGAGGCTCACTTTTTTATTTTATTTTGTACGTCATAATTTTTAAAATATTTGAGACTAGTAAGGGGAGTGAAGTAGTACTAGTGAACTTCAAAGTATGTTGGTCCACTTATGCACTCATCGAAACTAAAATTGATTCATAAACGCATATTTACTTGCCACTATTAAATAAATAATAATAAATTTATAATAATTGTATAATTCATACTATAGAATACGTCGTAATACAATAAGTGGCGTCTTTGGAGAGAAGTTTTTTTGGAATTACTGGAAATATTTGCATCCTAGCGTATATTTTTGATTTATCCATGGATGAATTATTTACACCACTATTAACTTGTTCCTGAAAAAAAAATGCCCTTATGATTTTTTCATTTTAAATTTACATAATATGTTTTTTTTAAGTATAGGTACGTACAATAGTCACCATATCCGAAATATTAGATGTTATTGGACTGAGGCCACATTTTACTGTATCGTTGTCACATATATTTAGTAATGACCAATCAATGATATAAAGATCCAAGACTTTGTTTGTTATTGTAAAATCAAAAACTTGAAGAACATAATATTTGAAACATAAAAAATATAATTTAAAAATATATAAATGATTTACAATAAAAATATTTTTCTGTCACCAGTTACGTGCTTTAATTGAAAATATAAAGGATTAATTAAGATAAAAAGAAATTAAAGAAACAATTTACATAAACTTAAAGTACAACATAATAATTCAAATAATTAGATATTTATTGTCCTCGTAAGTATATAAATTTAATATATTTTACTTACGCGTATCATTTATAAAATATTGGTAGTTCGAACCTGCTATGAGTAAACAAACTATTAATTTATTTACTTTTTTTTTAATATTAGTCACAAATGTACTAATTTTGTTTGCATAATCATCCATGGTATTCTAAAATAAATATATTTAATTAATGCATAATAGATACTAGTATTATAATATTATAGATTGATTTTTGAAAATAGGTATTTTGGGATTCTAAGTGAAGCGATGTATGTATTGATCTTACAATTATCTGTTTTTAAAAAAAAATTTTTGTTTGTAAATACGATAATAAAAAAAATAAACAAATGTTTCTTTTATTGGTTAATAGAATACCTAATATGGATGTTTAGAAGTCTAGAAAAACATAATTTTTTATTGAAGGCTAATCAATCAAGATTTTATCAATTCCTATCTCGAATTTGCAACATTTGTTTTAGGCTTAACTCGGTCTATTAATGTTTTATTGAGACCTCTTTTTTTTAGAGTTACACGAAAAACCAAAATTGATTTTGTCAATAACTAATAAATTTTGCTTAAAAATTCCCTTTGTTCCTTATTTTTTTGTTTCTTTTTCTTAACGCTTTTGAAAACTCTTAGAAATTTTTACTTTTGACTTTCCAATGTACCAACTAGAACAACTTTCCTACAAGAAAACATACTGTTGAAGAAAATCGAAGCATTCTGAAGGTAATGACTGACACAAAAAAATTTAAAAAAAATATAAAACACACATAATTGAAAAAAATCAATACGCGCATCACTCCGCTCAGTATCCAAAATTATTCATCATTGTAATATTTGAACTTTAAAACTATGATTTAATAAGAAAATGTATTGTTTTATTTAACTCACTTTATATATGTATTTAAGATTAATAATAATACCATTGACTTTAAATGTATTTAAAAAACTGACTAGTGGATCAAATATTTGTTTTTGAAATATATCTTTATCCGAAGGATCAAATATTGAGCACCAATCAACGGTACTCTGGAACCCAACGTGTGTGTAAACAGGTTTGTTAGCTTCTACTAAGCTTCTTATTGTACCTTTAATTTAATCATTCAAATTTTAATTGAATAACATAGGGTGCCTATTTATAATTAGTATTTTTATTTTATTTTATTAATTAACACATTATTGCCATTTATAAATAATGACACTAATTTATTGATATGCTATAATAATTTGTAAATTTATAACTGTATAATATTTATAAATAAATAAATAAGAGGTGACTTTTTCTTAACAATAATAACACATTGCTCTAAACCATTGTAGTCATATTGTATGTATACCATTATTACTAACCATTACTAAAATATTTTTTTCAATTATTATTAATATTATTATGGTTAATTAACAACCACAATAAACCATTTATTTGGTTTCTTGTAATTTTTTTTTTGATACATTATGTGATTTAACAGTTTTATTTTGCTCTTGTTATTGTTTTAAATACGACTTTTAATTTTTGGCGAATACATCTTAAACAGTGAATCATTAGTTTTTTCTTTGTCATCATTTAGAATTTAGTTATCATGAAATTAATTACAATGTGTTGCCTTAATATCTTAAAAATGTTTTTAAAAATAGTTCTTTCTTTATAAACAGTACCTACCTAAAACGTCAAACGTATAACAAGTGGGACTCTGTATATTCCTATTAGCAAACACCAAACATACGAAATCAGTCACATGTTTGTTTATTTAAGTTGTTTATAATTACCTTTATCTGATTCCTTTATGTGGACATCTATACCACCATTACGGTCAAAAGCATATTCACCTATTGTAATTATATCACAACGTTCTGGCAATTGGCTTATATTGAATACATAGGTACTTCTCCATATTCTTCCAGCTATATTGCAAATTACTTGATTTTTGACGCCTGAGTCATCTTATAAACATATTTAGTGGATACAATAAATAATAAAGTGAAGACATTAACCTTTTAATTATTTTAAAAAGTGAGTAAGTAGGTGACAACTTTGCTGTACATTTAGGTATCAAGTGTACTTCAAAATATTTTTCAAAATGTCAGCTTGATTCAATTTCCTATTAGAAGATATCAAAATTGAAGATCGAAGCATTTTTACTGTTTTGTGAAAGTTAATGACATACAAAAAAAAAATACACTTCATTGTAAAATCAATACTTTTTTTTTAATTAACTGTTAGAGGTATCAACAACACTATTATTAGTAAGCGTTACATTTTTTTTTTACATAAAAAAAAGGAAGAATTTACATCAACTAAATTACTTAATTATTACTATATATATTTATATTTTTACATTGTTTTCTTAGGTACCTAATAGTTTTAAATGAAATGCCGCTGCTCTGTTAGGCAAAACATCTGGACAAATTGCAACAATAATAAGCTCAGAGAAATAAAACAAACAATATTACCATGGTACAAACCATACGAGATGTCCAGAATGGACGAGTTAACTGTTGTCCGCCTACAAATAGACCACACCCGCCTGAAACACGGGTACCTCATGGCCAAAGAAGACCCACCCTCATGCCCTACGTGCGGAACACTCATTAGTCATTACGGTCAAACACATACTCCTAGAATGTCGCCAGTTCAATGAAATTCGCATCAAAATGGAACTACAGGAGACCTTATATAAGATATTTGCACCCACCCCCAAGATCTCCAAAAATGTAATCAATTTCACCAATCAATACTTTTATTGCTCATTTCAACCCATTTTATCTTTTTAATTCAAGTAAAATAAAATACTAAAAAATAAATAAATACTTTGTACCCATATTTTTTAAAATAAATATTTATTTAATTACCTTGTGTTGTCAATGGAGGATAATAAGATATACTGAAAATAAGTATTATTATAATTTTCATTTTAATTATTACATGAAATATCACGCATAAAATTACAACTAAATAACTTTTGCGAAATAATATTTTGTTTGTAATACCTACCTAATAATTTTAAGTTAAATTTTACATTAAGTATTTACTTTTATTAACTGTCTGTTATTTATTAATTGTTTACCTAATAATGTTAAAAATTAAAACATAAAAATAGAACATCTGTGATGTATATTTATATATAAAAAAATGTACATTGCAGCACAATATTGCACATGAGTAAATAATACATAAATCATAATAAAAAATATATAATATTATCATCTACATTTTGGATAAACTGTTTCTATATTTTTTAAATGTCCATTAAGTTATTAAATTATAATATTATATTATGTCAGGTGTGAAAAAAAAATAAATTATAATAATATGATCATCTAAATTGGTGTTCAAAAGTCCAATTATTTCGATATTACACACTGGTATTATACCGGAGGTTCAAATTACTAGTTTAAAATACATTTTAAAAATATTTAGATTAACTGTAAGGTTAGGTTAGGTTAGGTTGGCTACACATGGTCGAGACGATTCTGTTGACCAAAGAAAAGGATGAACGCGAAGATGAGGCGTTGCAAAGGGCACAAAGGAACGTGCGCGCTGCACGGTTGTGACTGCCCCGATGGATAGTGATTAGTGAGACATCCAGAGCCGACATCCGGTCGGCCAGAGAAAGTCAGGAAGAGGTCCAGGAAATACTGTTAATGCAAAACGAATAATTTTTGAAAATACATGAACGGGGGGTAAGTCGGGGGAGCTGTCCCGTCTACCCCTGACGTATGTATAAATATTTGATATTGTCAATAAACGATGACTGCGTCGCGGAAGCAATGCGAAAGTAGTTCCCGCGGCGTCGTCGGTTAAAAACTGAAAAAAAAGGTTGGTTATACATACTGTTTAGAGCCTATGTGCCTTATGCATTAACAATAGAAACATAATTTAATATAATATATGTATAAATATTTGATAAAATAGGCGTAACACGTTTCCACCAAAAGTGTAACTTTCCCTTTTCCACCATTACCCGTTTCCACCAAAAGTGTACCTTTCCCTTTTCCACCAATACTCGTTTCCACCAAATGAGATATTGACCACGTTTCCACCTAGACAAGTTCTATATATTGCTTCTAAATTATATTAAAAGCTGTTAAAATCTAATAAATTAATATACAACATAATAAAAATGTACAAATTTAGTAAAAAAAATTAAAAAAAATACAGTAATATGGTATAAAAGTTAGAGCGAGACAGCTAGTAATAAGTAATAACTAATAATATAACTGTGTTCCGGTATTAACACATTTTTTTTAACCTATATTGTGTTTAATACAATAAAATACACTAAATTTATTAATTAGAACAAAATATTGTTTTAAATTACTAGTAAGATTTAGTGCAATCTATATCAGAGGTTCCCAAACTGTGGTTCGCGATTATACTTTTGCCGGGTCACACTATTTTTTTAAATAATACAAAAATATAATCATCTATTACTTTTCGTTGATGTTCAAAGTTCAAATTCAGTTTTATCGTCAATCCTTATCTGTGAGTGTGACAATTACGAGTTTATCAGCGGCCGTGTCAAATACTATATATTATACTTATTATACTTTTTTTTCGTAATTACATAAAATTTAATAAAATAGTTTAATTTTCTGTTGTATGGTAAAAAAAAAAAAAGGTCATTCATTGATATTGTGGGTCGCCATATTTTAAAAAAATTTCAAAATGGGTCGTACAATAAAAAGTTTGGGAACCTCTGATCTATATCATAAAATTAAAAAAAATATCCACTTATTATTATAAAGTAACATTTTACTATTATACGATACTATTTAATCTTTTTATTTTATTAAATTTATACATTTGACAATTTTGACTATTATAGACATTATTATTATTATTATAAGGTAACATATACATGTATATTATGTTGTATATTAATTTATTACTTTTTAACAGCTTTTAACATAACTTATAAGCGTAGTATATAACTCGTCTTGGTGGAAAAGGGAAAGGTACACTTTTGGTGGAAACGGGTACCGCCCGATAAAATATACTGAGTACAATAGTCGAACTTGGTTAACAAAAAAATTATGAGACCGGCCAAGGTGTTCGAATTATGATTCGAGTTTTATAACGAGAAAACATGTATTGGGTTGGATACAAGTTATAGAAATGTGATGGTGAATTAATAAAACTGATTTCAGAAAATCGCAATCACGTTTTTACCAAAAATAATAGATAAAAAGAACTTAAAAATTAATATTATTTATGATAGGTGATGGCACTACACCTTAAACATTGTTGTAAAGCAGTATAGCTTAAATGATTTAGTTTCAAAGAAATATGCATAGAATTTATTTTTAGTTAGGGTAGGTATGGTTATATGTAGAGAGCACGGCCTTAGAAGATTAGGTCGGGACACTTATATATTTAATAATGTTAACAATTTGGTAGTTTGTAGATAGGAAATTTTAGTTGAGTTTTTCGCCGCTATTTTATTTAGGGCCTCGAACAGAACCTTATTAAGGTTATATAAAAAATTAAAAGTATTTTAGCGGCAAACAAACGAAAATTAAATCTGAAATATCATATATTTATACATATATATATATAAATATAAGAATATAGACTATAGAGGCATAAATAGATATTAATTTGTATACATACATGAAAATAGAAATTACATTAACATCACTATAAACAGTTCCTTGAATTTTGTTTTCACAAACATAATATTTGTTAGTTGTTAATCATACTATTGTAATTGTCGTACTGTTTTAAGAATTGTTTCTTTCACCTTAAATATGCCCAACTTATTATGTTTTTTTTTTTGGTTAAGTTGATGTTATTTTAACTATAATCTATTGGATAATATAATATTCAACTATTTTATTTTTAACGTTTATTTAAAGGTAATATAATAAAATCACTCCTATACTCAATATTGAATTGAGTACAAGTCAAGTGTTAAACTACATACATTTAATTCCACACCATAGAGTAATATTACTCTATGTTCTACACACACTGTTGTTATTTTAACACTTTGAAGCACATCATTTTCAATTGAGCTGTTTGAAAAAATCAGTCAGTCGTTCAGTCTTAAATCGTCGTGCGTATATTTATCGTTCATCCGTCTTTTATTTTTTTATTTTCAATAATTTTAAATGCAAAAAGTGTGCATTTGTGTTTACTTGCAAGACAGTTTGACCAGGTACAAGAAAAAATTAACAACGTGCTTTATTCGTGTACTGCATGTGTCAAAACATTTACTCAAAAATTGATTATCAAAAGTCATATGAAGATTGTTCATGGTATATATAGCAAATTTTAATTCATTTTATGGAACATTTTTAGTATTCATTTAAAGAGTTATTTCATTAAAAAAAATGTCTTAATACATTTTTGGAGTTCAACATGTACGTGCTGATATATAAATTGCACCACAAGTATTCGTACCAAATTTACCAGCTGGACCATAAAACCAGAGTTCGCATTAGGGAAATGACGTAGACGAAATGAATATGGTTCAGGCTGTAGATAACTTTGAAAAGGAGGAAGAAAAATCAAGAAAAAGCAAACGTATGAGAATGAACGCTACAACATCAGAATTCAAAGAAGTGGCTTCGGAATTTAGCGGTCTTTGCTAACATTTAAAAAAAAAAATATTGAAAACATCATGGATTATGAGACATTTTTAGTACAATCAAGGCTTAGTATTAGGGATTTACTTTTCAACGCTGTACAACAAGGTCTAATAAAGTATAGTATTAAAGTAGAATCGACATATGAGATTCCCAACACAGAGGTTCGAGAAAATAGGTCGTTTAAAACAAAATGTAGGACACTGTTTTTAGACGCTGATTTAAATAATAATTTAGACGAAGATTATATCAAAATCATACAGGAGGAAAACGAAATAATGTTGAAAGGAAGTGGCTTTTGATGGTGTTTTTATAAATATTAATAAATACTCGCCATTGGGAGATTCTTCCTATATACCGCTACCTGCATATCTAGAAAGCAAAAAAAAAAACAATCAATGTAAAAAATGCTGACGGAAAATGTTTAAATACAGCATTTTGGCAAAACTCGTTAACCCACCCAAACTATTTTCGAATAGGATCTAATTATACCGAAGTAGAAAACAGCTATGCTTTTACAGTAGAGAAGTTTCAAAGAGGTTTATGGAAGACATTGTAGAAGTTAGTAAAAACATCGATCGATTGTTAAACACAAATATGCCGCTTGTAATAACTAATGGAAATAATATAAAACATAAAGAAGTCGCTGACCGAGGAACATGCCCGTTTTGTAGTAATAAATTTAATAGTGGTAACTTACCGTGCGAGATCACGATCACTTGACCGGAAAGTATAGACAAACGGTATGTTATCAATGCAACTTAAAAATGCAGCGCTCTAATTTTGTCTCTTGTTTTTTTCATAACCTTTCTGGGTATTATTCACATTTTATCGTCACCCAACTAGGCTTTGATACTCAACCGATAAACGTTGTACCTAATACCGAAGAGAAGTTTATATCTTTTACTAAATATATTTCAAATTCATCCCATCCAAATACGATTTGTGGATTCTTTCTGATTTATGGCCACTAGTTTGGGAAAATGAGTCAACAATTTAGTTAAAGGAAGCAAATCAAAGTTTAGAGAGACGAAGATAATATTTATCGAAAATAATATTGATCTGATGACACGAAAAGATTTTTATCCTCATGAATACACGGATAGTTGGGAAAAATTAGACAAAACAGCAATTCCACCAGCACAAAAATTCTACAATGCATTGAATGAAACACATATTTCAAATTATGTCTATGAACACGCGAGGACGGTTTGGAGTCGATTCAATTGTAACTCTCTCGGCGAATATAGCGACTGCTACTTGAAAGTTGATGTGACGTTGTTGGTCGACTGTTTCGAAAACTTTAGAGATTTGTGTTTGAAGACGTATGGGTTGGATCCAAATTATTATTATA